TTTATGCCTAGGAACTGAATTTTCTGGGCAGGTCCTTTCACTTTGCTTCGCTTAATAGCGAAACCAGCACGGAGAAGGATCTGGATTATTTGCTCTCCTTTCTCAAAAACTTCCTTTGCTGTGTTGCCCCACACAGTGATGTCATCAATGTACTGCAGGTGCTCAGGAACACCTCCCTGTTCCAGTGCAGCTTGGATCAACCCATGGCAAATGGTTGGGCTATGTTTCCACCCCTGGGGCAAACGGTTCCAGGTATACTGAATGCCCCTCCAGGTGAAAGCAAACTGTGGTCTAGATTCTTTGGCCAGAGGAGTGGAGAAAAAGGCATTAGCAGTGTCAATGGTGGCATACCATTTGGCTGCTTTTGACTCCAGTTCGTATTGGAGTTCTAACATGTCCGGCACAGCAGCACTCAGTGGGGGTGTGACTTCATTCAGGCCACGGTAGTCCACCGTCAGCCTCCATTCTCCACTGGCTTTACGTACTGGCCATATGGGGCTGTTAAAAGGTGAGCGAGTTTTGCTGATCACTCCCTGATTCTCTAGTTGACGAATTAACTTATGAATGGGGAGCAAGGAATCCCTGTTGGTGCGGTACTGACGCCTGTGCACTGTTTTTGTGGCTATCGGTACCTGTTGCTCTTCCACTCGTAGCAACCCCACAACAGACGGATCTTCTGACAGGGCAGGCAAAACAGACAGCTGCTTAACACCTTCTGTGTCTACAGCAGCTATTCCAAAGGCCCATCGATACCCTTTGGGATCCTTAAAATATCCCCTTCTGAGATAATCAATACCAAGTATACATGGAGCCCCTGGGCCCGTCACAATAGGGTGCTTTTGCCAGTCTTTACCAGTGAGGCTGATTTCGGCCTCCAACATAGTCAGCTCTTGGGAAACCCCAGTCACCCCATGAATATAAATTGATTTTGCCCCTTGGTGACTCGAGGGCATTAGGGTGCACTGTGCACCAGTATCCACCAGGGCCTTATATTTCCGTGATTCTGATGTGCCAGGCCATCGAATCCACACAGTCCAATAAACTCTGTTATCCCTTTTTCCCCCTTGGCTGGGGGCAGGGCCCCTCTATTTGTTACCTCTGTTGTCTGCAGCAACTGGGGCAATCACCTTTTTGGAGAAGTTCACCCTGGTGGTTGATTTGCCTTGTAATTCTTTTACCCATGCTTGAAGTGCTGGAGTAGGTTGCTTATGCCACTTCTTCGTATCTTCTCCGTGGTCACATAGGTAATGCCACAAGGCAAAATGTGACGTGGTCTTACTGTTGTCACTTGTTTGAGCAGGAGGACGTCTTCTTTTGATAGCTGAGACGTTGGATGACACTGGCTGGGAGGAAATCAAGTTGATCAGCCCCTCCAGTAGGCTGTTTTGGGAATTCTGTTCCTCATTGGATGTATCTGTTACCACCATGGATCCATCAGCATCAGGCACGATTGATAGTTTGTCTATTATATCTTCTTGTTTGTTCTCCATTCTGTCCAGCTTTTCAGCTACTTTTTCAATGGCTGAAACACAAGCTCATAGAGGGCTTAAATGTAACTCAAAGTCTTGAAGCTTATTAACCAACTCATTTATAAGGGGTCTTCTTTCCCCTCTGCCATACATTGCTGCAAATGTACTGGCGTACCTCTCTGGTGCAGTCTTTGTGAATGTACGCCACATATTTGGTGTACACCTGGCTCTCTCAGGATCATGCTCTTGGTCTGGCTCATCAGGAATGAAATCGGGGCTATGTAGTGTTTCCACCACAGCATATTCTCTCAAATAACGGGTGCCTTCTTCCATATCAGCCCACTTCTTCTTCTCAGGCATCAGATTGTCTTTGAAGGGGTATCTTTCTTTTACAGCTAACAACATCCTCTTCCAGAGGGTGAAGGCCTGGTTCTGGCATGTACCAATACCTCTGTCAATGGCTGAGTCCCTAGCAATGCCACACACTGTTGGCCCCATTGTCCCACTATCGAAGTAACCAAGTGGCAATAGGCTCATTTGGGTGACGTGAGAAGTCTTTTCTCAGACTTCGAATTTCATTCATTTTCAGAGATCGATCAACAAAGGTAACGATATCTTGCTCACCTCTTCCTCTTCCAGGACTTCTTGCCCTCATAGGCGTTGGTGACATGACAGTACGTGGTCTGATAGTGAGAGGACGAAGGGGAGTTAATTGAGACTGAAAGAGGGAAAATTTAGGTCAGATGTTTTGAAAAAAATTCTTTTCTTAGACATGGTGAGGTGCTGGCACTGCTGCCCAGAGCTGTGGGTGCCCCATCGCTGGAGGGCCCTGGGCAGCCTGAGCTGCTGGGAGGCAGCCAACCCTCACTAGGGGGTGGGGCTGGGGGAGCTTTGAGTCCCTTCCAACCCATTCTATGAAAATGTCTCCGTTGCCTAGAAGCAGTTTGCGATAAATGGATCAACAAAGCAGTTGCAACTGCCTCGGCTCAGATGTCCTCAGCTGGAACTACAAAGCAGCATGGTAGGCTCCACACATGTTCTGAATAACTGTAAAGAAACTAGCCTGCAGCTGCACACTGCACCTTCCAAAAGTATGTTCAAGGAAGTCCTGCTGATACCGAAGGAAATTGTGCCCTGTGCCTCAGAGAAAGAAGGGCATGATAGAAATAAGAAAAAACCAATCACTTATACTGTTTTTCTTGATGTCTCCGATGCTGTTGAACATGCAGATTTTCTCTCCTTGTTTCAAGTTAACTAGTCCTTCCCCAAGTACTTGTTTCTTTATCTTATGTATCGTTTTTTCCTCCTGTAATACGGTAAAAGCAGTGTTCCATCTCGTTGTTGTGGGTGAGGCAGAGTAAATAGCAGCTTACAGTGAGTCTGGATGTTGGGGTTTGCTTAAGAGCTAACAAAATTACAGCTTTTAACCTACCTAGTTGTTTTACTTGCTTCCAACCCCACATTTGGTTCATGAGGTCTGGGCTTACCTTCCCAGCAGGGAGGCTGCTGCTGGCCTGGGGAAATCCAGCAGGGAGCTGTGTCTGCTGGCAGTGGGCAGCTGCTCCAGGTACTGGTCCTGGGGCAAGGTGTGCTGGCACTGGTTTCCACCCATCTCCTTCTCTTCCAGGATCTTCCTTACAGCCAGGATCTTCACTGTCCCCTTTTTGAGACCCCTGTTTTCTCTCCAAGACCACTTCTGCTTCTTGGAAACCCTTCTTTTTGGCACAGTCCTTTCTTTTCACGATCCCTATCTCCTCCCTTTCCTCATCTAAATGGTCTCTTTGCAGGCATGCAACACGTGACCAGCCTCCCAATTGGTGCTTGTCTTATGCCTTTTTATTAATGAGAGGGTATGGGACATTCCCCTTTTTTGTTTACTCAGGGCTTATCTGAATGTACAGCCAGCACATATGGGTTGCAGGCAGGAAGCTTCTGCTGGAGTCTTCAGATGTCCGTGTGGGGGTGGATGCCTGGAACAAACTTACACCCAGTTATCTGCCTCCTGTTAGCTTTCACAGTTTAAAGTGTTTTTCACCTAGGACACACGTTCAAAGTTTGGTTGCCAGTATTGTTAACTTCTTCCTTACTAGCAAGAAGTAAAATTAAGCCATTGCACTTAATCTCTGACAGCTGCGTGGAGTGCTTGCTGTGGTAGCACAGACTTGTAAGCACGTGGTGTGGCTCTTGCAAAGCTGTTTGCAGGCTGAGATCCCTCCCCACGCTCTCTTAGGAGAAGGAGAAAAGAGCTGTCAGGCTGAAAGCCCATGTGTGAGGCCTTACAAACAGCTAAAAACCATGACAGCAATGCACGTTTCCTGGGGTTCCCAGTGCAGCCTGTTCTTGTGCTGTTTGGGTTATTGAGTTATCACTGTGCTACAGCAGCTGCCACTGTCAGGACAGATGAGTTTCTGTGCAGTTTCGTTTCGGATGAAAGGGAGGAAGTGTTGGGGCTATAGTTCTTGTACTGTTTGAAGTAACAGCACATTATTACATACTGATGCTGGATTAATGGGCTTTCAGTATGCTTTGACATTCTTTCAGCAGCACTTAGATGCCTGGCTAACTTTAAGTGGCTAGCAAAAGCACATTTGGAGTTCAGAGCTTAGGGTGTGTGGTCAGAGGAGCTCTGTGCTGAAGCTGAGCAGAGGAAGAGCTTTAATCAGATGTGGCATTTTAAATGAGCAATGTTTGTATCCACTCTTCTTTTGAGAACGTTTGAACTTTGTTGGGATGCATCTGTAACGCTAACATAGTCACTAATACACATGTTTGATAAGCTTAGTTGGAGGTGGGCAATTTGGAGAGATTGCTGATTAGGCTTCATCATATACCCCTGTTACTAAAACACCTCTTTGCCAGCAAACAGTGGGCAGCAGTTTAAAAGGACATAAATTGCCACTGAGTTATTCTTTGGGCTGAAATAGTACGAAATTCAGTTTGTACTAATGATGACAAAGCAAATGAAGCATGGCGTTGTCTGTGCAAATGAGTTTAATTCTACCATACAACACATGCCAGTGTTTTGTCTTCCCATATAGAAGAATTGGAGAAAAGTTAGTAAATTCCTTCAGGTTTTCTAATTCTTATTCGAATAATCTGAACTGTAGTAAAGTCTTTTATCCTCCCCTTCTGGAGCCCTTTGCATGATTCTGTACCAGCTTAAGCTGCATGAAATCAGCGTCTTACAAATAGGCAATTAGGGACTTTTTAATGCAGCCTGTGCTATTGGGCACAAATATCCCATTAGCTGAGTTCTTTCAAGTGAAAAACTTGGTCAGGAATACGGAAACCTTTGAAACAGACTGTGGTGGAAGGTGGATAATGTTCATACAATGGAATAGCCTGGCTCAAATAGAGCTATGTCTGTTGTGCTATTCCAAGCATTCCTTGTAATGTCTTGCAAAGGCAGGTCTGTTGTTGGCAGATGGGAACTGTTTGTGATCTTTTTGGAACTTTGCAGGGGGTATTATCCTAGAGCAACAGACTTGTAATGCTTCCTTGTGTTTCCCTTTTTCCTTTTTATCCCCTTAGGTGCAGGAACTCCACGAGGAGGAAGCCCAGTGGGTGAATTACGATGAGGATGAACTGTGTGTAAAAATGCAGTTGGCAGATGGGATCTTTGAGACCTTGATCAGAGACACTGTTGAGGTACTGAGCCAGGTAAGTGCAAAACAGCAGAGATGGCTGCTTGTGTGAAGTGCCGAAAATAAACCTCTAGCTGCAAGCACTGAGGCACGGGCCTTTTGACTCCTGATGTACTCTCCACCCTGCAAGCATTGCTGCTGGACTTCCTCGTGTGGGTTTTAAAGTTGGCTCAGATGCGACTACAGGAACCTAAATTTGCATCCTCTGCCACAAGAGACCTTGCACTGGATTTGTTGCCTGGACAAGCTGGTCCCCCGCTGAGGCTGCGTTGTGGAGTGCTCAGACTGTGTGCCAACGCAGTTATGCCATGTAACTGTCAGCAGCTGTCTGTGCTCCTTGCCTGGGGCTTTGACTTTCAGCCCGTGCCCTGAAAGGGCTGGGTTAAGTTGGGATATTGGTTATTTTGGTGGAATGGCTGTCAGTCATCAGTACGAGAGTTGTCTTAAAACGTGAGTAATTTGGAGAAGAAAAGATTTGGTAAAGTTTTAGGTATAAATGATTTACTGTACTGAACAGTGTTAAAACCTTAACACCTCTTCTCCTGCAGCCCTAACAATGTGCATCAATTTCTTCTGCTCCAGAGCCCGGCTAATTCCCTTTCCTGTGAAGTTGTTTTTCATCTTTCTTCCTGTGGCGTGGTACCAGACATGGTGCCACTCAGTCCAGGGAAATCAGTTAATGTTGCTTTTTGCATTCAAGTAAAGAGTTCCTTCTGTTTTTCATATGTAACATGCTTCAGTCCAGAGGTGGAGCAAGATAGAAGAACATGAAAGAAGAGCCCATGGACAACTTTCCTCCAACCACGTAGCACTTCTTGACTTCCTGGAGCACCAGCTGCTCCTAGATAACACATACTCAGGATTCTCTCAGGCACGGAACATGCAGGAGTAGCAAATGTTTCCTTGCAAAAATTTGGCCTTCACACCCTCAGCTTTCTCCCCTCTGGTCACCTAATATATAGGAGAAGCCATTACTTGAACAATTTAGAGAACAGAGTGTATTCACCAAAGAAAGCAGTGCTTGACCGACTGCATGTTTTGTGCTTGTGGGCTCTTTTTTTTTTTTTTTTTTAATTTATTTTTAGGTAATTTATTAAGTGGGTTATAGGAGAGTGTCCTGTGCAGTTGGTTGTGCTATCTTATATTTTGAGACAGACAGATGTGAGAAAATGCCTGTTCTGGGAACTTCCGGGGTCTGCATTCTTAAGTCCTCCAGCTTCTTGAGATGGATACAAGGAAGAACGAAACCTCAGTGACTAGGGGTTGACAACGAAGGCAGGACTAGGAATGGAGCTTCTCTGCATCCAGTTCAGAGACAAGGGGAGAGTTAAGGGGGCTGAGCTTGATGTGAAACTTCCCTGCTGCATCTGTTTCTTTTCTTTCCCAGACCTGCTATGTCACGGGCAGCCATTAGTACGTGTTTCATTCAGTGCTGGGTTGAACTGCAGTGTCTTTCTGCCAAGTTTTCTTTCCTAATCTGCCCCTCCCACTCTGGTGTTTTTCTTGGATGGACGCAGACAATCTGGGGTTGAATGCTGATGCCTTAATAGTGGATGTCCCTGTTAACTTGGGACGAGATGCAGGGGAGAGTCAGATTCTCTGGGCAGCTGGAGTGCAGAGAGATGCTTTGAAGCACTTTAGGAGGTCCCGTAAGGATGCTGCTGCCCATGATAGGGATGGTGGGGGGGGGGTGGAAGTACCTTTTTTCTTTGATCTGCTTGGTCCTTGGGCTTCTGGGCTTTTACTGTGCAGACCTCTACTCCTGCTCTGTTACGTTTTCTCTTTTCCGCTTTCTTTTTTTGAAAGCTGTCATTGGAATATTTGCATTTTGCACAACGACACGTGGCTGGTAATTCTTCAGGGACAGCACTGGGAAATGCTGGACTTACCAGAGGTCCAAGCAAACTCTCAGATGTAGTATTGCCAGCACCTCGCTTGCGAGTTAATGGGGAGCCGTATTCATGGAAGCTTAATAAGAGGAAGAACAGAGGAGCTAATGGCCTGTAGGAACAGCTCCAATAGGGCACGTGAACGTCTGTCCTGCAGCAGTTGCCTTTCTGGCTGGCTGAAAGTCAAATGGTCTTGGTGGAGCCACGTTCAGCCTTTTTTTCCCCTAAGTGACTCACTTGTCCATCTAAAGTGTCGTGATGCTGAACTGTGAAATTCTGGGCTGCTTAAAATAGAAGCAAACTGAAGCTGCTGCATTTAACCGGCATGGTGTCACTGATTGGGTCACTGCTGCAGATTCCCTTTCCTGGGTGTATCTTTTTCAATAGAGTCCATTGTTATTTTTATAGGTAGCAATTAGGAAGGGAAGGCAGAAACCCGCAACACAGCTCTGTGGCTGGAGTATCAGAGAAATGCAGCTGGCTTTTGTCCCCTGAGTACCATGACCAGTGCTGAGGAGGGTGCCAGGCATCAGAAAGCTCTCCAGCTGTCCTCTGGGGCTTCTGTGGAATATCCAGCAGCAGGAGAAGGTTGTGCAGCTCACCTGCCAGGGACCTTTGGAGATCGTATGCCTGCTGTCTGACTGCTATGGATCAGCAGTAGATCAGTGCCCTCACCAGAAGTAGTGAGTAGCTGTCTTTACAGCTGTTTGGACAGAAGAGAACTCTGTATAAAAAACGGCTTTATTCCTGTGCACACATCACCTTTTCTTTTTGGTAACCATCCTTGACAGGAACAAGCCGAAGAAGACTTGAACATAAGTAATTTATCTTCTCAGTACCTCACGTGTGTTGAGCTTCTTTTAGTTGAGAGTGTGCTCAATACCTCGGGTGTGTTGAGTTCCTTTTGGACCGGTGATGACGGTGACGAAGCGATGGTCTGCCTGGGTCGTGTCTGATAACAGGTATGGGGGAGCCTGGAGTCTTAGGAGCAGAGGCTGAGTTCTGTACGTCTTTCCCCTCCCAAACTTCCTACTTAGAAGAGCAAGATGATACTGCTGGGTCTCGGCTATCATAGCACAGCCACATTAGGAGCTTCAGGGCTGAGAGGTTCTCCTGTAAGCTCCTGCAGGCAGCGGCTGCTGGCACTGGGGGACGTGGTTCCCTTTTGGAAAGGATCTCTGCGCCGTGGGGAAAGCCCAGCTGCCTTTTGGAAGAGGGAATGAGGGATTGGAAAATCCCATCTTGTTCACTTTCCTTTCTTGAAAAAGTGGCCTTAGCTTTTTGCAATACTTGAATAAGTGTGTAGCTGCAGAAGATCTTCAGTAGCACAGAGACAGAGACCTCTTAGGTGACTATTCTGCACGGAACTGAGCGCAGTTCTGACTTTCATATCCCTTTGCTACCTTCAGAACATTAGGAATACAGAGTACTTTTCAGCAGAGAAGCAGTTGGATCTTATAAGGCATTTAGTGCATCTGAAGTGTTTACAAATGAACTGAAATGGAGAAAAGCAAACTAGTGAACTTATTTGTAATTTAAACGCGAAATGCGAAAATATATACAGATGAAAGAGGAATACTGTAATTAACCTGCGTTTAATAGTTTGTTTCCTTGACTTTGCAGAGCCTTTTGATATACACTTGCAAAGCCGCCTTTGGGGAGGCTCTGTCTCCCCATGTACTGTGTTGTGGAGATACTCAAAGGAAACCTGTTTACTGTGTACGTGTAAATAACCTGGTCACTTGGTTCTTGGGCCAGTTTCTGCAGACGTTCACATCCAGAGCAGTTTTGCACGGTAGACAGACCCAAGGATGCGGAGGCGTTTTTGTAATTAAGAGCTGTAAAATAACCAGGGTGCTCCCTGTGTACACCAGTGTAAATATCTTTGGTAACTGAAATGTACTTTAAGAGAACAAAATCTGTAAATAAACTGATTTATAAATTAATCTCGTTTCCTGGTTCTTTCAGAAATGGAAGCTTCATAATTACCCAAATTGCTGCTGACTCTGAGGGTGTCCTGTGGATTTGTCCCTTGCCCGCTCCCCTTGCTGTCTGATGCTGTACTTGCGATGCCAATCACAGTCCACAAAATCCCATTAGAGTTGCCTTAATGATAATCACACGTTATTAGAATTTCCTTCTCGTTGGAGCTGACTGATGAAAGCGAAAACACAAAATAACATTGCGTCATCATTGCAGGAGGCACGCTCTGTGCCCTTGCCAGGAGAAACATTATTCCTTATGTTTATTGAAAACAGGTTATAAAACTTTAAGTGTAAAAAAAAAAACAAACAAAAAACTCAAAACTGTTGGAATGAAATCCTCCAGACCCTAAGCTGTGTTTCACATGAATTGTTTCCTACATTTTTCCAGCTCAGGAGCTCTGCTGCCACCAGTTCTGATCTCTGTAGATGAGCATTGCTCCTTGCAACCTTCATTTATTGGTGAAACCCTCCTTACCTGTGCGACCTGGTGTAGGGAACCTGCTTTGGCAGGGGGGTCAGACTCGATGATCTCTGGAGGTCCCTTCCAACCCCTACAATTCTGTGATTCTGTGATTAATCTTTCTGATTTCCCCTCCCTTGGATTGCGAACTGTTTTCAGACCAGCAAGAGGAAATGCTTTGACAAGTGAGAGGTACCAGAGCTCTGCCAGGGGCTGGCTGACCGGCAGCCGTGCCAAACCACAGCCCTGTGATCATGAAGTGCAAGAGAGGAGCAGCGTGGCCACATTGTGGGCTGTGAGAGGCAGAGTGCATTCGTCAAGCTTCCAAGTGCTTCCATTTCTGCTGCTGCTTCTGTAGCTCTGCTGTGTTTGGGGCTGTTTGCTAACGTAGCTGCCCAGGGCATGGCAGTGGGATGCCTGCTGCCCCAAGGCTGAACCAGAGCGGTGCACGCTCATTACTGAACAGCAGGAGAACATCCGTGCCGCTGCTCTCCTCGCCCTGCAGTTATTCTGCTCCTTGATCTTGGATTTTTGGGTAGGGATTTGCTTGCAACCAGTAAGCTGCTGCTGCACTGCTGCTGCTGTCCCTGCCCAGGATGCTGGCAATCAGCTCCACGGAGGCACTTACTTCCTCATTGGCAATTCTATGTTGCTCCACTTTGGCATGGACTTTCTACCCGTGCATTTGCACAACTTTTCCTTCGCAAAGGCCACGACAACACGTGGCCCCAGTACAACTCCCAGTTTGGGCAATGGCAGGCCGCCACCTTCCCAAAGGGAAGAGCTGGGCTGCTGGGTGCCTCCCTTCTCAGGAGGTGATGCTGGGAGCGGGCAGCCAACCCAAAAGCAGGGGCTGGAACTGGGTGGGCTCTGAGGTTCCCTCCAACCTAACTGTTCTGCAGTTGTAGGACTCTGTGACCTATGTTGCTCTATGGAGGCGGTGGAGCCAGCCCACCCTTGGAGGTGAGCCCTCACACCGAAGGGTGGCTGCAGCCAGAGGAGTGCTCCGTTGTCATCTGTGTGGCATTCTGAGTTCCGTGCGCTGCAATTAAGCCAGCTGCCAAATGATGATGTGGCAGAGCTGGGCGGTGTGGCCTCCTCCGATCTGCGCCAGGACACCGGGCAGGTGAGCTGGAGTGGAAAACATCTGCCCCGTGCATCCTGGGTTGTGGCAATGAGTTATAAGGAGGGACTTTGGGTAGAGCCGAGCTTTGTTTCCAGTCCTGACGTACCAGGTGCTGCCAGCGCCCTCTGAAAAGGGCAGCAAAAAGAGCAGGGATGAATCAGCAGAGGGCAAATAGCAGGCAGGGGCTGGGTCTGGTGCTCCGCAGACACCGAGTGCGTGAACATTCATCACATCCTGAGAATGCACCCCAGAATTTCTTGTTGTTATTACAGGTTGCTCGGGCCGGAAAGGTGGAAATCAACAAAATACAGCCGCCGGCTACTGGTGGTGGCCCACAGGGGTCTGCAAGGGCTGTGCCAGGTGAGCGGTGGGGTCGGTGCTGGGCTCAATCCGAGTTCCCTGCATTCTGCAGTGGAACTTCTCCAGGCAGCCCTTCCAATGCCGGCACAGGTGACAGCAATGCCAGCAGTCGTGGTTGTGCCATGAGTGTTGCATTGGCTGCATGTTTTTCTTGGAGTCAGTTCCTGGAATCCCAATTACGTAGGCATGTGTTCTTTAATTTTCAAGGAAGAAAGTCCGTTTTGGGATCTCCCTGTTCCCGGAAATTCAAAGCTAAAGGGAAGTGAAAAATTCCTGCATTGTCTTACCCCCAAGGTTTGAGCCATTGGACTTCCTCAGCCACGTTCATGCTTTTAAGAACAGACATCAACCTTTTCCTATATTCCAAAGCACGTTCAGGAGTCCTCTCTGGCAGTTTGAGACCTGAATACATAAAACCCATCTGGTCTTCCCTTGTCTGCTCTCCAGCCCCACACAAGGAGAATCAGAGCTCTGTGCCTCCAAGGACGGCCCATTTGGGCACATGGAACAAGTTCTGCAGGGCTCAAATGATTTCACTGAGGTGGTGGTTGCCTTTGAGGATCTTAGCCCACACCTCAAGGTGTGACTTGGAGACGGTTGCCTTTGGCTGGGAAGGGAGATCTGGGAGCTGATGGGCTTAGTGAGCCCAAGGTACCGCTCAGCTGCCGCATGGCAGCAGTGGCAGCAGTCCTTGGCCCATGGCCTCATCTCCTCCCAAAGGTAAGGATGCTGAGTCAGGTGCTGAAGACCTTTGCTGAGAAATGGGTTCCCAAGCACAACATCAGAGCCTCCCACTGAACTCTATGGCTTTGGAGGTGGAACCAGTAGCAGGTAGTGCTGAGAGGGCGTTGCCAAAGCCATCTACCACTTCTCTATTTATTTTTTAATTCATCTCGGTTATCCTGACGTCGATCTTCAAGCAGGATGTTTCAAAACCTCTGCTTTGCCTGCAAGGAAGAGCCAGTTCTTGCCAGCTTGCTGCAGAGATGAAAAGCCCAAGCTCTTGCTATGCAGTGAGAATAAAGGTAAAGAAGGAAAAATAAATCCCAAACGAGCAGCTCCCACAGCGGCTCCCCAGGAGCAGGAGCAGCCTGGGCCCAGGGCAATGAGCTGTGGCCTGGCTCACCCCAAAAGGAGTCAGGGCCCTGGGCTGTGGGCTCTCCCCTCTGCTTTGGAGCTGTTTTTCAGCTGAGAAAGGATTAAAGGAATTTGGGCTGCTTGGGAGGGAGGGGCGAGCTGGATGGGAGGATGCTGGCAATTAAGCATCAAGCACCTCTCCTTCAGCACGATAACCCCATTGCACTGATGAGCCCTGAGAGTGAGGGATGTGGCCCAGGGTGAAATAACGGTGATCAGCAGGACAGAGATGGGGTGGGATTTTGGTCTTATGGCTGGACGATGGAGAGCCTTGTGCTCTTCACCAAGGCCCCTGTGCTCCCCGGCCGGGGCAAGGCCTGGCTCTGGCAGGCTCGTTTTTCTAGCAGGGCAAGTTCTCCTCTAACACCTAGGTGGGGCCGGCAGCTAATGGCCTTTCTGGGGCCGCAGCCAGCACCCAGCCCTGGGGAGTGATGGGCACCCCGACGGCAGGGCTGGGAAAGGCTCTGCGCAGGCCCAACCGTGGTGTGGGGCCACGTCCAGCCTGGGGCCCTGTGCAACGGGCACCTTCCAGCAGAGTGGGTGTGCGCCGAGAGCCCCGTGTGGGGCAGAGCCGCCCCACGTTGGGTGGAGGAGCCACATCTGGAGCTTCTGTGGTGTTGAATGCAGGCATCACTCCTTGCAGGCGGCCACCAGCCCTGCGTGCCCTGCCACGTGCTGGGGTAGCCATGGGTGGGGGACCCCTGCGGATGCCACGCGGCTGACATCAGGGTGCCCGTGCAGGGCAATGCCGTCAGCAGGCGGCTTCCCTCGAGGAATTTCCCTAATGGCTGCCACGCCGCAGGCTTTGGGGCTGAATCAGCCGCCTTTGCTCATTTTATCACAGTTTTGTGTGATGCGTCTGCAGGTACCAGTGACCCTCTGGGGCACGTTCCTCCTCCCCGGGGTCTGACACCCCCCCTGCCCGACTCACGAGGCGAGGGCTGCCTGCTGCTGGTGCCACCGTAGCTGTGAGGTGTCTGTGTGATAGACGCAGTGATGCATGCGAGTTCCTGGGCTAGGGGTCATCACGCCCCCTGCAAGGGGTATGGCTCAGCCCCCTGGGAGGTGCAGACAGGCCTCCACGCAGCTGAAGTCCCCGTGGCTCAGACCGGAGCGACTCAGCTCTCCCAAACGGCCGGACGGGGATGGAGTGGGGAGCTTCGAGCTGAGCCCCCTCCCCCCCCCCCC